ATTTTCTTGGCTTTTGTTTGTGTTTGGGTGAAAAACTCGATGAATCTATAGAACTATAACAAAAATAAGTGAGAATCACAAACAAAAACACTCTAGACACTATACTACAAAGTTAAAAGTGTTATAAATGCCTAAGTTGTGAAAAACCAAACAAAATCTTGTATAAGGATCATTTTTGGAAAATAAACAAAAGTTTGGGGTCAAGAGTGACACCTACGGTTTTATAGGGGCTAAAAGGGTATTATTAGCCTAAAAATGAGTTTTTATAACAAACATATTTTTCTAAGGTCAAAAGTGTAAAATTTGGCATTTTGGGCCTTAAGGTGGGCCTCACGGCCTATTGGGCCCAAACTTGCAAAAATGTCAATTTTTGGGGATTAAAATGTTATTTAATCAAAACTCGAGCCAAAAATGAGAATAAATAAGATTAGGGGCTGAAAATGACACTATCTCAAGATTTGGACCAAAAATGTTAATTTTATAAAAATCCGAAAATGTCATTTTATACAAATAAGGGCTGAATTTGTAATTTTCTGCATAAATGGATTGAAAATGTCATTACATGTATTTTTGGGCCAAACCCATCAATCACTAAACATTTGGGGCGAAAATGTAGATTTTATAAACTTATGGACTAAAATGTTATTTTTAATTTAAAATAGACCAAAATGACATTTTATGTAAAATAATCGTTTAAATGTTCAAATTAGTTCTCAAGGGACCTAAAGTGTAAATTTTTATAAATACGGGTTCAAATTATAAAATTTTGACGTATCAAACTAAAAATATCATTACAACAAAACATCGGACTTTTTATAACGCTACAGATAAATAATTCGATTAAACAAAATACAACAATGGTGCGATTATTGGGCCTAGTATTTGCTATACATGTTTATTGGGCATTTGTGATCCAATTACATGTTTATTGGGCCCAATGTATTCATCACATGTCTATTGGGCCTCAGTGACCCAATTACATGCTAAATGGGCCTAATTTAGCTTTTACATGTTATTAGGCCTTAGTAGCCCATTTACATGCTAATTTAGCCTAGAAATAACTTACATGTTAAATGTGCCATAGTTGCCTTTCCTTCATGTTTGTTGGGCCTTACCTTTTCATTTCATACATCATCTAGTGTTCGAACTTCTAAATACATATAACATTATACAAATTGATGTGGAGACAAATGGGATCTAGTGAGACGTGTCGGTTGACACCACCGAGTGTATGCCCGTAGCTTGTAGTTATAATCAGAGTCTCCTGGAGGGAGAGCGAAAGTTTGTGTATAGATCTATACGGGGGTGACTCCCCCACACCTGAGTTGTTCGCTACAGTTAGACTAGGCCAGTCTAGGGTGACAAAACCTTGATCGAAAATCCGGCGTTTGGAAAAATGCCAAGACAGCCAAATCAGTCACTATCATGTATGGTTATAACAACTCATATAGAGATCCATTTCCATTAAGATATTACGGAAAAATTAATAACTTGTAAGTCATAATGATACAAAACATTTCTACAGTGCAAAGACCGTGACATTTATATAAATCAGAAAATATCGGATTTTCTAGGGAAATATATTATTCAAATACCACTTACAATAGAAAGAATACAAAGAAATTTGAGCTGCATTCCTATATGTTACTACTATGAAATTCACACATGCATTTATACTCGATTTTCACATAATTTTTCAGACTTTTACAGAAAATATCGGATTTTCTGGGTTTTACAAACAATACAAAGACTTTTATTCAAACATGCTTATGAACTCACCAACATTATATATGTTGACCGTTTTCAAAATAACTTGTATTCTCAGGAAATCGTTAAGCAGAAGGACTTTCAAGTGTGTATGGATTTATTTTGTGTAACGTCACTCATCGTACTATTAATACTTTGAATTTATGTAACCTGTGACAATGTACTTGATGTGAACAATACCAGCTGTAATATGTAATGTTTGGTGATGAATGTGTTATGTTTCATGAATATTCATTGTGATGATATTCAATGTGTAATGTTTGGGGGTGTGACAGACACTCCTACTAAAACAGTTTACGTCCGCCACTGACTATACTACTCTTTTTTATTTGTTTTTCATTTATTTTTCTTGCTTATTCTTACTTTTTTATTTTTTATTGGAATAAAATTATTCTTTATGGTTTATTCTTTCTCTTTAAAGATAATGAAAAAAATATGAAAACGTTTTTGGAAGTTGGCTTTACAGAAGGAGGAACAAACATTAGGCTACTCCGACGACTATTTCTTAATCTCCTCTATTTCTATTTCAAGCAGTTTTCGGCGACCATGGACCTCTCACCACTAGATTTACCTTATCGTCGACCGCACTTTAGCCACTTTGTCGCCGCCGATCCCCGACCTGATGCCTCCTAGGTCTTTGAGATCTATCTGTTTGGTGCGAGATCGAGGTTGTGTGTGCGAAGCTGCCAAGGCTAGCACTACCCCATTCGTCCTCATTTGATGTGAAATATGATGGGTTTTAGGCATAACAAAAACAAACTTAAAACTCTTAAGTGTGCATGCAACCTAAAACAAGATCTATTTTTTCACTATTGAACTTATAACTAAGAACATCAAAATAAGAACCCTAGAAACCCTAGGCAGTTTTTGAAAAACAGAAGAAAAAGTTTAGGATTACATACCTTATTGTTATTATAGCAAATAACAATCATCCTTGACTTGTAGAACCTTTGGAAGCAAACACCACAAATGTCGTGTCTCTTGTGGTTCACACCCAAGCTAGCAAGTAGGAGATTATGGAGAGAGGAGAGGGGAGAGCAGAATTTCGGTCAAGCCTTGGGAAGGAAGTGATGGCCGAAAATCAAAGGCCTAGGATCTCATTTATAATGCAACTAGGAAACCGTAGATAACCCTGATTTGAATTAAATAATATTAATTCAAACAAGGGTTTGGACCGTCCGCGCGATGCTACGGAAGCCTGATATATTGAAAAACGCAACTCGACATGGATAAAATTTGTGGGAGAAATTTTGAGACAACTTTCAACATAGTTACCTTCAACCATAGCCCAAAATTGCAAACTACAATGTATTTTCTACCACAATGATGCTAATTTATGCAATTTTATGGTGATGATCTTGAGCCAACATATGTTAATCATATAAAATTAAGCAACAAAACAACTGTAATTACATTCAAACATTTGTTAATCTTTTATCATCTTCAAGAAATAAGAACATAAGCAGGGTGCTGAAAAAATTAGAAGTCCCAAGGTAACTCTTTGCAAAGTGGACCACACAAGTATAAAAATAAAGTTTCTATCTTAACAATTATGTATAGAAGGGGCGGACAAAAATAAAAAAATTATGGGAAGCCCGGTATATTGAAAAACGCAGTTCGTATTGATAAAGTTTGTGTGATAATTTTTTAGACAACTTTCAACATAGTTACTCTCAACCATAGCTCCTACCACAATGATGTTAATTATGCAGTTTTATGGTGATGATCTTGAGCCAACATATTTTGATCATATAAAATCAAGCAACAAAACAACTGTAATTACATTCAAACGTTTGTTAATCTTTTATCATCTTCAAGAAATAAGAAACATAAGGAGGGTGTTAAAAAATTAGAGGTCCCAAGTTAGATCTTTGTAAAGTGGAACACAAAAGTATAAAAATAAAGTTTATATCTTAACAATTATGTATGGAGGAGGCAAAAAAAAATTGAAAGTATATCATATTTGGTACAATACTACAAATAACAATTAATAAATAAATAATAAATAAAAATTAATATTAATGAAAATGAGAACTATAAAACAAATTATGTAAGGGACAAAAAAATATAACTTTTTCTATAAGAATAATCAAAATTGTCATTTTCAAATACAATCTTATTTGTTTTTTATACCAAACGTGTTAAAAAGTAGAATATGATAGAAATATAGTAATTTTGGTTCTGGAAAAAATAAAAACCAGATGAATAGTAACTATACTCACATACTCAAAGTTGGCAATTATTATATATACAACCTGAGCGTTGCAGCGAGTGGCTCTTTTGTGAGGTGGACTATAAAAATATAAAAATAAAGTTTCAATCAAAAGAATTATGTACGGAGAAAACGGAAAAAACTAAGATTTGAAAGTGTATCTTAATTGGTAGATAAAACTGTAAAATTAGTCCCTGTGGTATTCAAAAAACTTTGGATAGTGTCCAAAAAGTTTCCAACTTGCATGGATGGTCCAAAATCAAGATTTTTCTGTGATTTTGGTCCAAAAAAACTTGAAAGTACGATTTTGTCCTTTTATTTTCTTTTTTCCTTTTTATAATTATTTTAACGTTATTTTAATTAAAAAAAAAGAAATTAAAAGAATTAGCCACCAACCACCCCATCACTCTCTCTCTCTCTCTCTCACACACACAGAGTAAAGAAAAACCCACCTTCACCTCCCCTACCCCCACTCCCGATCTTCTTCTTCTCAGTCCACCTTTAACTTAAATTACACACACATACACACACTTAAATACGTTGCCATTTAACCCTTTCTCTATTCCCAACGAGCAATCCCTCTCTTGGTGATAGTAGACGATTCTAGTGGACTTCCGTTGGTCTTCTGCGTAAACCATCATAACTTCAGATTACCTTAAAACCATGGGGCAGGGGCTTAGTTGCAGAGTACAAGATGAACATGGCTTGTTCACAGCAGTACAATTTGGCGATTTGGAAGTTGGTGCTTCCTTAAATATTGTTGTATTTGACCGATTCGATTGATGCGTAATTTTAATTTTGTATTATTGATTCATATTTTATCTGGGTTTTGATTATTTCTATGCTTTTGGAGAATCGATCAGTCAATCCTAATTCTTTGTATGGTCATAAACATGTGCGTTATTTGCTCTCATTCTCATTGAATGATTTGAAGTTTCTATAATTTTTCAAATCCTTTTTCTGAATAACAAATGTGAAGTCTGGAGCTCTTTAAAACTTCATTACTTCCTTAAGAACATAAATGATTTTGTGCACTTTGATCAAATGGTATCAGACTTCGTTGATGTTGGCTGCAAAACATGGGAAGACCGCTAATGTTGAAAAGCTTATTGAAGTCGCCATTACAGTTAACATGAAGCTTTTCATCGTCATCATCATATTCTTCATGAGAAAGGTGTATGGGTTTTCATCTACGCGCCAATGGATATTAATCTACAAAAACCTTAGAGGGAAAAGATTTGAAGGACTTGCTTTGATTTTTGTTGTTTTCAAATGGGTTGTTGGCGTTGAGAATCGAAGTGAGTGATGGTTGTGAGTCTTGCAAGGTTTTGGGGGAGAATAAGCCATTAAAGAATCGTGGTGAAGATCTCAAAATTTGTGTTAAAATCGAAAAAAAGAAAGAAAGATTTTAGTAACTTCCATGGTGATGAAGAAGGATTAAAACCTAAGTGTTTGTGTGAATGTGTGTGGGAGGTTGAATTTGCAGGTGTAGGGTCAAGAAGGAGAAAGGGGAGAGAGTCAAAGAGAGATGGAAAGAGAATGGGAGGGTACGAGTGGAGGGATGGGATGGGGTGGCGTAACTAATTCCTTTTTTTAATTTTTAATTAATAAATTATTAAAGAAAACATAAAAAATACAAAAAAAGAAATAAGAAGGGCAAAACCGTCTTTTCAAGCTTTTTTGACCATAAAAATCTTGATTTTGGATCATCCATGCAAGTTGAAAACTTTTTGGGCCATATCCAAAGTTTTTTGAATACCACATGGACTAATTTTGCAGTTTTGTCTTTGGTATAATACAACAAATGACAATTGATTAAAAAAATTAAGAAATTATATAACAAAAAGTAATATTAACACAAATGAAAACTATAAAAAATATATATAATTGATGAAAAATGTAACTTTAAAATATAGTAGAGAAATATAGTAGAGGATAAAAATTAAAATTTAAAAATACCAATAATTATATGGGGTGGGGTAGCTAAGGGATGGCAAAAATGGTCCTTTAACTATACCTTTTTGTTGCAGTTTGGGATTGCTTTTTCTATACGTATATATTATGGAAACATGCATCTGATTTGTCTATTCCACCCCTTCTACTTAGCTTCCTTTGTCTTTAGTGGCCTTTCTCCCGTGGTTTTTGGTTTCTTTTATGGAAAGGGTTTACGTAATGTTTTTGATTTGGCAAAAATGGTCCTGTAGTTTTGCTATGTTGACAAATGTGGTATGTTTTTTTAATTTTTTTGCCATTCAAGGTGAGTGGTCAATGCCTGGGTGCGTGAGTCATCGACTCCATTGCTACGTGTCATTCTGTTGATCTCATTTCCACCGCTTCTTTCCACTAATTGCTCCACCGTCTCTTTCCCTCTATTACAGGCTATTCTCTCTCTCTCTCTCTCTCTCTTCTTCTTCTTCTTCTTCTTCTTCTCCCACCGTTTCTCCCTTCTTCATTCTCTTTATCTATTCCTGGCTCCCTCAATCATCGCAGACGAATTACCGATTCAAAAACCCCATCATACCTCCGATTCTTCCTCAATTCGCGATCCCTCCGATTCTTCCTTAATTCGCGATCGCACCTGCTGCCACCAAAACTGAGTTGATCGATACCAACACCTATCTGCCTCGCTCTCAACCTTCACTATCTACATTCGGAGAACAGCTTACACTCCACCCTATCATCATCTCCGGAGGAATCGATTGCACCTTAAACGATAAGACGGTGCTTCTGAAATCGGTACCAACACCTCATCTCATTCGATTTCCCGTTGATTTTTGAAAACGACTCAAAACCTTTCAATTTCTTATGTGTTATATCAATATGAAATCGGTGGCTTGAAGATTTGTTTTGGTTCCGGTTTATGCATATCTAATTTTAGGCTTATCTCTGCTATCCGACGCTCTATTTTCAGTGGATTTCTCTGTGGCCGACAATTAACAGGTTTACCTCTTAAATTACCATTTTTTCATGTTTGATTTCCCTAATCTCTGTTTCATTTCCCTAATCTCTTTTTAATTTCTGCTAGGCTTGGATACGAGAGGTTGACATAAGGGGTTTGAAGAAGCCGACTTCTGTTGAATACACTCGATTTTGCCGCCACCCTCCTCATCGCCACCTCCGATCATCTCCATCACAAGAACGTGTTTTTCCTTTTTTTTGCTGATATCTTGCTTTTTGCTGATTTTAGTGATATATTCAACATAATAACTTGGGATTTTGTTGATATATTGAACACAAGAACCATAATAAATTGACATACAGTTAGGTTATTTGGTTATCGTAGCAAACCAGTTGAAACATATGCCTAAAATAGCATTAAGTGGAAGTTTTTACACAAAACGAACTGAATTGGATTTTCAATAAGAGAATATGTACCACTGGTGGTTCAGGGCTTTGGTTTGTTACCACACGGCTTTCAAGGTGTTCCGTTCCATTTCTGTCAAGTATGTTTGTGTTATGTTGCTACCACACACGTTTTCAAATTTAATTTCCATACTGATACCTTACTACCTTTTTAGTGTATTTTGTATTCTACCTATTCGATTTGGTTTTCATTCCAAATGGGTTTCCACTAATTTGAAGATGAGTGGTTTGGTTTGGTGGTTTTGATAAAGATGTCTAAGAGGTCAGCTTTCATACACTTTTAACTTTCCGCTATTGACCTGCTATAAACCTTTATTGGTTAGATGTCGTGAAAACAACTGAATTGCTTTTATCGGAAGGATGAGAAAGATTCAGGAGATACTAAGCTCAACACCGCAGAAATGACACAATTTGTAAGTTTGTTGCCCGGTTCTCTTCTTCTGGTAAACATAATTTCCTGTTACCATTGGAGCCACATGTAACACTTTATGTGAGTGGGGTTAAGGTAATTACCAATTACTAAGTAACACTGTTTCTAATTATTAGCATTAAATTAGTAAGCAAAACTAATGTTTATTAATTTTGTTTGTGAATGAATATGATATGATGTAGGCATATGATGACATGATCGTTGGTGAACATTCACGAGATATGGATCTTGATGTAGGGATATATGTTATTCTTGATTAATAATATAACATTTCAGTTTCACATTACTTTTCAGTAATTTAATTATTATCTTTTCACAGGTTAATCCTATAAGAAACAAGGAACTTACAGATCAGCTGGAAAGGACGAGAATGTCAAATTGTCACCTCCTCACAGAGTATGTCTCTCAATCACTGAATTTTTTAAAATCTTGAATCTCTCTTCTTCTCTTTTATAAGTTTTGTGGATATAAAAGATGTATGTGGCTTTAATTTATATGCAGATGACACTTGAAGAGGCTATAGGCTATGTGGCTTCTGATGAGCTAATTGAGGTCAGTATACTGTATACTCATATAAAAGCTCAAGTTATTTTAAATTGCAAAAATGTGTTATTTTTTATTGATTTAGCCACGGTTTAGTTTGAGTTCTTTTGACCAATTAAAAAACCATTATTTCAGGTTTTGTAAAAGGACAAAATACAGAAAAAAACTTAAAAACACAATTTAGATTGGTTGATACAAAAATGCATTAAGTAGGCTTTCCATTTTCACACACATATATAATACGGAGTATTAACAATTAATAAGATCCATTCACGAAGAATCCATATTTAGGACTTCAATTAGTCACCCTACTAATGAAAGAAATTAGACAGGTTTCATGAAAACGGATGTGTTGGATTTGGAGTGGTCAACTGATGGCACATTTCTTATATGCTTATTTGATTAAGTTTGTGTTTTTGTTTTTTCTTTTGTTTTTTCTTCAGGATCTTTGCAGTAGATTCTAGATGCTCATTTCCATTATGTTCAAGGTGTAGCATGGGATCCTTTAAATAAATATGCAACTTCACTTAGTTCAGATGGAAACTGTCACCCACCTCCTCAGGTTAAGTTGTGATCATTTCTACTTACTTTTTTTTTTTTAAATAAGTTTCCATTGAGTTGACTTCTGAAGATTTTAATCTAATTATTTCATTATGAAATTATCCTTGGATGGGTATTCCTGCAACATTTCTTCTACTTACTCTAAAAAAAAGTTTCCATTAGTTTGACTTCAGAGGTTTTTACCTCTAATTTGAAATTATCCCTAAACGGGTATTTTTACATCATTATGATTTTAGCCTTCTATAAACATGGGTTCCTTGAGGATGCAAAGGAATTGACATTAGAGGGCATTTTAGTCACCAAATATCATTGCTTAGTAAGGCTGTGTACAAGTCGAATATAGCATTTATGCATGAAAAATATATATATAGTAAAAGTTACCAGTGATATCCGTAAATCTTAAACCGCAGCCATTTATTGTAGATAATCTTTTTGTTATGTATTTTGTAGGTCAACTGACCATTCTGTTTGTATGCTTCACTAGAGGATTTTAGTTTCTAATGGAATTGAGTCTCCTGTTCATAAATTTGAATAACTTTGAATAACACAAAGCTCCTGTTCTTTGTGTTCAGGTATCCAATATTTTTTTTGGTTTCGTGTGTATATACTTTTTCGCACATTCTTTTTAATTTATGAGTTTTGGTGTTTTGTATTTACAACTCTTTGTATGTTGGTAGTGTTGTCTGGAGAAGCTTTCTGCGTTAAGGAGTTTAGTAGAGGACGGTTGTGTAAATATTTGGGGTGTAAATATTTGGGATCATTGACAGGAAGGTCATCTGTTGAAAACCCAAAACAATATAAACGTAAACAGTTAAAAAAGATATAAAATACTTTCAATTGCAGTCCAATAGGAATCATTTTCTCCAGAAGAGATAAAATAACACAAAACTCTAAAAAATTGTCGCCATAAAACAAAATCAATGAAAACCTTCAATATCAAAAAAATTTAGAATATGTGGAAGCCAGGGTCGTATGTGCAGATTGTATTCATATGTGCAGATTGTATTCATATTTGTCAGCCCGGAAACAACATCGAAAGCTTCTGGCCCCCGCGTAGCGAGGGTAACCTTTCTAGTTTAACATTAAAATTATAAGAGATTATTTGAGGGAAAGCATATAAATATATAAAACTTACTATGAGCAAAACTAAAATTGCTATCTCCAGAGATTTTTTATAGATTGTATTGACGGCTTTACATTTTTATTATGATTTGGAATTCACATTTAAAAGAAAAAATGTGAGTAGAAAGAGAATTAAGCAGCCAGCGAGTATCTGGGTATCCATCCATAAATGAATGCCTGGATAGCTATCAATGGCCAAGAATCAAAATTGAAATGAATAGTAAATGTGTGAGAAACTTTTTTTTGGTAATTAATATATATATATATATAATTTGGTAATTATTCAGCTTTCTAATTATCCACATGGATAATTCTTGAAACCCTAAAAGTCTCTAGAAACCGTTCACCCTCCTGGTGGAAGGTTCTGGAGCCTTTTGTTCAACTGTTGAATAATTGTACTTTAGACCTTGCACTTTTAATTAATTCTATTTATCCTGAAATTAGTTTAAGTTAATTTATGATTAATTATTAATTAAATATTAGTATTTATATTTAATATATTATTCTCATAACATATTAATAAATTATTTATTTCAATTTATTAATCAAGAATTTGATCAACCTCTCTCTCCAAAAATTATCATATCCAATTGCTAGGTTTGAGGGCAACCCAGAAAGACTGTGTTACGATCAACTCAAATATATATCAATTATAGTTATGGGCTTAGACGCTTAATCCAACAAAATACACCCATGAAACAAAAATAAAACTTTTAAGCTTCTTTCTCTACAACTCGGAACCGCCACCACCATACCTACAAGCTCTAAGAAGATCAGGGTTCACGTTAGGGTTCAGGGTTTACAAAACTAGTTCTTATTTTACTAAACTCTCAAACAGAAAAGCATTAGGGTTTTGAATTTTCCAATCTTGCATCTGGGTATATTTTTTGGTGTGTAGCTTAAAATTTAGTGTTATGATTTCCTTTTTTTACTTGGGTTTTTACATGTAGCTTGAGTTTTGGCTTTTATTTTTGGGATTTTGATTTCATATTCATTTTATTTTTGGATGGTATCATTTGATTTGGTGTGGTGGGGGTTGTTAAAGGTGAAAGGTAGTGCCTAGTGGTTGTCAAACTTGAGAAATAAGACAAGGAATAGGGGTTTCTGGTGGTGGCTATGACATTTTAGGTGGTGCTCCATTTTCCAGTGTGGTGCAAATTTTTTGGTGTTGGTGGTGGTTATTGTTCTTAAACAAAAGAGAAAGAGAGAGAAATTGTCTTGTAAATAATATATTTTTTAATAATTAATAATAATCAGAAATGTCAAAAATAAATGAAAAAGATGTAACACTCACTCTAGGTATGAGTTTATACTTGGTATGTTTAAGTTCAAAAGTTGGGTTTTGTGTTTTACACCCCCCCCCCCCCCTCGCATGGTGTTTGGCTTACCACGACGTGGTAATGCTAATTCACCATTGTAACATACCAAAAATATGAATAAAATTTTTCATTTTAAACCAATCAAATCATATAGTATTTGTCCCAAAAATCCATCATAGTAAAAATGTATCATAATCATCAGAGTAAAATAACAATCATCAATGTGGAAAATCATCTTAGGGAAATGATGAAGAGTCAAGTCGGGCCCTTCCCTTTGGAATTGGAAGAACATGAAAATGTTCAACCACAAACCGTAAGCACAAAGCTTAGTGAGTTCCCAAAATACCACATACCATACATACATTGTCATGGGCTACCCCCATGGTCTTCCATACAAGTGTCATGTGCTACTCTCATGGTCTTTCATACCATTGTCATAGGCTACCCCCATGGTATTTTCTTGCATTTCCTTGGCTACTCCATGGTCTTATATAAAAGTGTAATGCTCTACCCCTATGCTCTTTCATACAAATGACACGGGCTACCCCTGGTGGCTTTAATGCAAACATCACAAAGACAACTAGCATCCTACACAGTATAGTGAGAAGACTCACCTGTCTCACGAAGTTAGATAACCCACATCTAACTGCCACAAAACCGGTGCTACAATACACCTAACAATCAAACAAGTCTATATCCTAGAACTAGCACTTAGACCAAAAGTCAACCCTGGTCAAAAGTCAACCGTCAAAGTCAAGTGTCCAAGTCAACTTTGGAGAATCGTCATGTCGTGACCTCCTATTGGTCACATCATGGCATAATAAGGACAAAATAATCACGGGACCCTCCTCGGTCACCACATCATGTCAGCCAAAACGTCACGACGTGAAAACTGGTTTAACAGCTTATTGGATTAAGCCATTTTCCATCGATTCCATGAGCTCCAAAGCTCAGATCTGATTATTCCCAAGGTCTTAATGGACAAAGTTTCCAACTTTACCCATTAATACATCCCTCTAAGCCAAGATCTCAAATACAAGGTCCTTAAAGGCAACTCAATTCATGAAATCAACCATTAAGCACTTAATTCTTAAGATATTCAATCCAAAACTTCGAGAAGGGTTTTAAGGATCGTAATGATCCCTAAAAATGCACTACAAACAATATTACATTTAGTGGCACAAATGTTTTTATGCCACTATAAATTGAAAATCACAATAGCCCGCTCCTATTTCCCTGAAAATTATAATTTCAAGTTGCCCGCTCCTATTTCCCCCATCATTAATAGAGGATTTCGTCCACCCTAAACTTAAAAAGTAAAGAAGGAAAAAAGACTGGTCTCGATCATATACCCTAATCTCCGTTCCTTCCCTAGTTCCAATCCTTGCCCAAATTCTCGTGGATCTCTACTCACTTGCCAATCGTTCATAAGAATATTTGGCGAGTACTTTCGGCCGCTTCGCTCAATCATCTCCAATCCTCTGTTTATTTTTTTGAGTTCCGATAGGGCTTGTTGTTAGGAGATGAACAACACGAGTTCCAATTAGGGCTTGCAGTTGGATCCCTCCCGTTTACAATTAAGAAACGTAAGTTGTTTGTGTTCATGTATTTTCTGGTTTTTATTGATTGCATCTTTGTGATTTATTTCTTTTCATCAAGAGGATGATCTGGTATTTTCTGGTGTGTTGGAACGACCCTGCTATCCAAGTTCAACAAGGTTCCATTCCTTTTAGTTACCTAATTAGCGTTTATGAACTAAAATTTTGTGAATAGTTTAAATTCATAATTCTGTTCTTAGTTTTTCCCCAAAATATTAAATTATTAATCCATATTTTTGTTTAAACGATAATATGTGTAATAGATGGTGGCGATTAAACCCTACCCATTGTCTTTTGAGTTCTCCGTGTATCTAGTTCTTGTCTCTGGCTTAGACCGAAAATGATCTTAATTGGTTAAACGAGCTAGAAGACGACACCTAATTTGTAACTTTACTATGATGATGATTTTTTCAACTTGTAGGTGGAGATATTGGACGATGTAAACCAAAAAATGTATCACTTACAATATTTTGTGTTGTTCAACAGCTTCTTCAACCTTCGTCCCTACAACCTCACAGGTAAACACATGATTTGTTAAACATCGTATTGGTGTTTTGGATCTTTATGGTCATGTGTGTTTTTATATGAGAACCAAATCAGTAATAGTTTTGCTATTAATATTTTTTTTGTGAGTTTGAGTTACTTTGTAAGTCTAATGATAACGAATGTCAAAAAAGTGTTATTGTTGTTTTTTTGGTTATTATTATTTTTCTTTTTAGGGTTTTTTTTGCTCATGTTTCATCTAAAATCATTTTTTGTATTATGGTATGTTGTTATTAAAGAAATAATTATGTTTACTGTTTTTTGTAAAACCAAAAGAATCAAAATCAACTCCATGTACCGTAATTTAAAGCTCACATGCTAACCTGTCAATCTTTTTTTTTTCAATTATAAGTATGTATTTATCCCTAATGACTCCCCTGTACCAAAGCGAAAGCATGTTTTTATTATTGAGAAAGATATATGTCATTGAAAAAAATATTTGACATAACTTGTAGGAAATTAGAATAAACAGATGATCACAGTGGCAATGTGAGATGCCTTTCTTCCAATTTTTGTTTCTTATTCGTAAAATCATATGTTGATTGCACTATTTTTCCTTTTGGTTTGGTAAAAAATTAACTTTTTTTTATCTATTTTTTTTTTGTAAAAAACTATTTAATAAGAAAGATATATGTTATTCTAAAAATTATTTGACAAAACTCCTTGTTTTTTTTCTGCTTCATGGTGCCATTATTATTGACAAAGATGGTTTGAGTACTAGACACTAATAGCTTCATGGATCGGTTTTCTTTGGTTAACATTTGTGTCTCCTTTTCCAATTTCAGGTTTCAAAGAAAGTGAACAAGATAGAGAGCAAGAAATGGAAGTCCATGGAGATGGAGCATTACTAAAGCTTTTAGATGCAAAGATAGAACTTGTAAAGTAAACATTGACACCTACTAAGAAGCTCTTGAAGCTGTATGCTAATATTTAGTTCGAGGTCAATCATGTTTCATGATTCTTCACTAATAAGTATTTAGTTCGATAGGATTATGTTTTGAGTATTAGCACAATATTTAGACCTATTAAACTTTTATGAATACATTTGTATTTTAAATATTAAGAATACGGTGGTTAGACAAGTTTAAATTGAAGTAGTGATTTTGTGTTTTCTATTTATTATCTTTATTGTCTTATTATTAATTTTTATCCATTTAAAATAAAAAAATAAGACCTAAAATATTTATATAAGTTTTTTTAAGTTAAAAAAAGTGTCACTAAAAATAATATTTATTTTAGCACTTTAATAGTGGCATAAATATAGT